AGAAAAGCTCTCCTGCTGTCATAGTTCTTCACAATGTAATATGTTTCTGAAATCGAGCTGTTGTCTCTTTATGTTGGCTGCAGTAGCTCTGGAGGCCCTTTCTCTATCAACAGCCAGTGCTTGTTGTTCATGCATTAAGTAGTGCTGTTCACTTCAGATGCTCGTTCCAGCTGCTGTTAGCTGTAGTTGCTTCCTGCTGCTGGTGACCCTGGAAGTTAGGATCTGGGTGGACATTGCTGTCCCACCGTATAGAGAAAACAGCATTGCACCATCGTGATCTGGCTTGGTTTTGTCTTGCAGAGGAAGTGGTACGACACCGAAAACGAGTATTACCTGCTGCTCTTCACTGTGTCTGTCCGCTGCCTTTTCTGCACTAGCTTCAGCCTGGAGTACTGCTGGCATGGACCTGCCCAGAAGTCATCCCACTCATTCCTGTGGATGCTGGCATACGTGTTTTATTATCCCACATTCCACAATGGGCCCCTTATGAACTTTGATGAATTCAGTAAGCAGGTAAGCGTGTTTAAGATCATGCAGCTACAGATTTTCTGTGTCTCAGGTGAGTTGAGTGAAGAGCTATTGAAGCGGACAGTGATCTCTTCATCTGCCAAGTCTAGACACAGAACCTGTACTTTGAGGAATAGATTAAAGCATGATAAGTTGATTATTTTTTTTCCTCATCTTGGGAGATTTTAATACCAATCATGAGAAAATGTTAGGTAGACAATTTTATCCAGTTTTCCTAGAGCTGCTCTTTTAATGGTGTGTTTCATAAGATAGTTTACAGGTAAGCCTGAGTTTCTATTTATTTTCTAGTTACCTACTTGACAAAAATCAATACTGATGAGACTTTCAAACAGAAGGTGTTCCTCATGTTAGTGTGTATCTATCGTCCTTTTCTCTGTAAGTGCTGAAGTATGCTGCATGCAAAAGGGAAGGCTGTAGGTAGAAACCAGTCTTGGGTATTCACGCTTGTATGCCAGCCATGGCATAAGACTGAACTCTCATAAGGCTGGTAACTAACACTGAGAATATATTTAGTCAAAATATATTGTCAAAATAAGTCTTTATTTAGTGCTTGGGTGGAGGGAGGTTGATTAGACTCCAATGTTAGAGAAAGTGGAAAGAAAGCCAAATAGTTTTTGAAGGCTGGATGATTAATCTTCTCTATCAGACTTTGGGGGGGGGGGGGTAACCTACAGAAAAGGAGTTTTCACTCATGCATGTTTTGACTTCAGCAAAAGCATCTATAACTGATGCTGTAATATTTTTCCTCCTTACTAGTGATTTGAAGGATTTCAATTTTGACTTAGTCCTTGGAGATTAAGAATTATTTGGGTGTCTAAAGGTATATTCCACATAATTTTGAAAATATCAAATAATGTTATTGGAATGTGAAGACTGGACAATTTTGAGCATAGCATTGGGACTTTCACGATGTCCTGGATATCAACTTTAAGACAAACCTTCCTCCCCAAGTTCTTGTACTTTACAGGATGTTTTTTTATCTGACATGAAATTCATCCCTTCAACCAGGGAGCCAATGACACATGTCGTTACATTTGGAGAGTGTTCATAATTTTAGCTTGTAGCTGCTGGATTGGATTTTTGTTTTTCTTTCCTCCATCAGGTAGAATAAAGTAACATTTTCAGCAGCAGCTAGCTATTAACTCTGAAACATATTTCAGAGTCACAGGAATCTGCTGGTTTGTATTGGGAATTCCTGAAGATCCCAGTTTCCCTTCATGTTGGTGTGAAAGCTGATGATTTACTTGGAACGCTTTTCTTCAGACTTTAGCAAGCTGAGCAGCTCCTTGAATGTGAAAGACTTACCTATCTTACTGCATGTTTTTTCTAGTGCCTTCCAGGCTGCTTTTCAAGCCTGCTTCTACATGACAGGGGAAAACCTCAGATTTCTGTGCTTTATTGCTTTCCTTATTTTCTTGCACACTTGAGTAGGAAGTGAAATCGCCACCTGTGATGTCTATAGCTAACATCATTGGGTTAAAGTGGATGAGTGGATGTTTCAAACCTTAAAACTGCTGTTTCAGTTTATGTATAGAAGCTTAGGTGTTGCTTGCTTCTGTTTGTATTTGGAAATTTTCTGTTGAAGCCACAGCAAATAGACTGGGCTTTATGAAAGTGAAAACAGATTCTGGTGGACCCCTGAGTGACAAGTCCTATGCTCATTTGTCTTCAGTAGCTTTGGAAGATGCAAGGCTGAATGTTGTTATCCTGGGCTGGATGTTGTAGGAAAAGTCTGCATAGACTTGCATAGAAACTGAGGTAATTTACTTTTTTACTGTTTATTGTTTTGTAGCTTCTAAAATGTGTTAAATTCCACCTATATTCCTGTACCCCTAGTAGAGGGAGATGATTTTTTTTTTTCAAGGAATGTTTCAGAAGACATATGAGATTCCAAGTTGAGAGTAGCTTGGGGATAGCTGGTAGGAAAAATTCTGTGTGGTGTCTTGCATTGAAACTGAGAAACTGAGCTCACCTGGTATGGCTCAGCAAAGAGCTTTGCAAAGACCAGCTGTATTCTTGGTGTGAGGGGAGAAAGGAAGATTGAGAGTGGGATGCCTGTACTTGCAGTAAGTTCTCATTTAAATATACACAGACCTGTTTGGTTAAAGCCATAAAGAAGAGGGAACAAACTGAACAACTTTAATGTGTTTTTTGTTGGTGTTTGAAGTAAATTGTCAGAGCTCTTACCTGAGCAGAAGATATTGCCTTGATAGGTGAGGTTGGAAAAGGGTTTCAAAGTTGGCAGTGCCCAGCAGTTGGTTCAAAGTGCACAATACAAAGAGTGTGTTTATTGCTGCTATCAGAAAAGACCACCTGCAGAACCCCTTAACTGAAGCTGAGACAGAGTGAGATGAGAGCCACTGCTGAGCACACTGGAAAGCAGAAGTCCTGGAGATGGAGACAGAGAAACTGCTGTGTAATACCAGTGCTGGCAATTGGCATCCATTGCCAGGCAAAAATGAGAGACTGTGACGCTTCATCAAAGGCCTTGTTGAATTTCTGGGTTGAAGCAGGGCATAGCAGTTCTAGCCATGGGTTTGAAGGCCTGTTGTGCAAATTGCTGTGATTAAATGGTAGTCTCCAAGCTTTCATTTAGCTGGTACAAATGAACCTTCAAAATGAGTGTGCTGCTTCATTTGTAAGTGAGCAGAACTAATTGCATGTTAGCTGTATTGTGTGCTTGCAATTATGAGGGGGTTTTGTCCATGCAGATGGGTTGGTTGCTTATCTTGTATGTGCATTTTTGGTGACCAGTTAGAGTCTGGAGAAGGAAATGTTGCACACACACAATGATAGATGTACAAAACGTGTCAATTTTTAGGCAATCCTATGTTTCTGTTATTTGATCATATTCTCTTTTACTGCAGAAAGAAGGTAAAATAATAGCATACCAATGTGTTTACTATAGTTAGCAGCGTAAAAGTTTAGGGCATCTTGAAGCCTGTCAACTGCAAACCTTGTCTTACCTGATATTTAACTTGCACTTAACTGCCATTTGCTCAGTATGTCACATAGGTCTTGCTGACCTTGGCAATGCTACAGGAGAAAAATGAAGTACTGTCCTCAAGTAATCAATCCCATGCAGCTGGTAGAAGTTGGAGGTATTTTAAGAGCAAGCAGTCATTGTTTCTGCATTTGGTAGGGCCGCTGCTTGGAAAACCTCCTTCATAGCTGTAGTTTCTTTAAACTTTTTTGATTATCGCTAGAGGCTGATCAAGTTACAGGAATGACAAAAGAGTGTCTCATGTCTGGATTCTGTTCGGGTTAACAGCACTTGGCCTTTTCTACAACAGTTTGGTGCAGTGTACGTTCATGTTTGGTCTCTTGCTGATTACTGCTGCTTACTGAGATTGAGAATGGAGAAACCAGTTTCCCTCAAAAGAGTATGTCAGGATTTTCCAAATGGTGTAGTCAAATGGTCCCCTTAGTAATAATAATGAAACTTGAAGTTCTCAGGATGAGTATTTGAGTAAAGCAGTCAGTTGTGTGCCATATAACCTCTTTGGATTTCTTTAGATGAGGAGACAAGAAGCCTTCAGTTTGAAGACCAATCTCAGCATCTTAATCGTGGGCATAATTCGTATTTTCTTTTGGTGGTTCCTGGCTGAGCTGATGATTCACCTCATGTATATCCATGCTCTCTACAGCAGTGCCCCACCTTTGGAAGCTGCATCATACTGGGCCTTGGGTGAGTATAGAAAGAGTAGCAGAAATCTTCCTTCTCCCCCCACTTCAGGAACCCCAGTCTACTTCTCTTTCATGTCCATCTGTAGGTACTTATGAATAGTACATTATGGCCAGTCACTGTCAGAAAGGTGGTCTACAGACTCTTAATATAACATGTAGATCCTCTAAGAAGCTTACAGTTGAACTGATTGAACTGCTTCCTAAATTAAAAAATATTCTGTATTTTTTCCGTTCTAAAGTGTGTGTGTAAACTTTGGTCTAAAGTGTTTTTTTCCCCCCCCAGTGATAGAAGTGGACACTTAAAAAAAGAGTTTGTTTACTGTAGGGATGGAGGAGGGGAGATGTTAAGAATTAGTGTTTCTCATCCTTTATTGATCTCCTGTTTGATGTTTCTAGTTCATATTCAGGTTGAAATGACAGTACTCATGAAAAGAGCAGGGATTTTAATTTCATTAAAATGCCTAACTGCGGGGGAAAAATGAGTGCTGAAGAATGTAGCATAAAGTGGCAAGAGCTTTAGGTGCTGGTATGTAGGTAGACATAGGCTAACCCATAAGCCACTGGCATATGTGATTGGTTTGTGGGGTTTTTTTCCCCACTGTCCTGCTATGTGTATCACCAGGTAGGAGGAATGAAAACAGAGAAACCCCAGGCCTTAAAATTGGGTTCTGAAAAAGTCTTGGTGATTGCTGAATTGAAAGAGATGCCTCTTACTGTACCAGCAAGTAACAGGAATAGATACACGCACTGGTATGGTCCTGTCAAGCATTCATTGGAGAACATGTATGATGAGCAGTGTGTGTGTTGGAGGACGCTTGTGTATTGGACTCTGGTCAATAGAGGGCAATGTGTGCACTCTGTCTCTGTATGTGTATATATGTATGTGCATATATACACACTTAATATATATTTCAATATATAATTTTTATATATAGAAAAGAGCAAGAACGTATGGAGAGCGAAAGTGAGAGGTTTGCCTCCATGGTTCATTCTACCCCTCGTCACTGTTTAGAAAGTGGATTCTGAGTTTTCATCTCCTGTTCTAAATGTCAGTTCATTGATGAATTAAATCTGTTAGCTCCTGGTGTCGTCTGTATGTCTGACAAAAAGCTGGCCACTGGATAAGGCAGGCAAGGCTACAGAATTAGGGATGAAATAGTCCAGCTTTAGTGTTACTGGGGGATTCTTCTCTCCCTTCAAGACGACCAATGTTGATTTTAAAAAAGAGGGGAAAAAAGTTACTTTCCAGACAATAGCTAAGCAGGCTGCATATTTATTTGACAAAATCAAGTGTTATATCCTAAGAATTAAAATGCATTTTGAACAGATTATTAGAAAAGGCTGAAATGCCTCAAAGCAACAGGTGATGAAAGCCTGTGTTAAAGCAAGTTTGGACTGTAAAGCCGCCTGATTAAAATATCATTTGATTTGCAACAAGTCCCCTGTGGAGACCCTGCTTTTAAGAGGCATGTTCAAAGTGTAACCCTACTTTCATTGAACTTTGTCATTGTAGTAATGAAAGCAGATGTTTAAAATATTATAGTACAAATGAGATTTTGAGGCAGAAGCTTATCACTTCTTAAAATGTTTTCTCTGCAGGTTTTATCACAATCATAGAATCATTAAGGTTGGAAAAGACCTCTAAGATCATAGAGTCCAACCATCAACCCAACACCACCATGCCCACTAAACCATGTGCCTAAGCACCTCTTCTACACGTCTTTTAAATACTTCCAGGGATGGTGACTCAACCACTTCCCTGGGCAGCCTGTTCCAATGTTTAACCACTCTTTCAGTAAAGAAATTTTTCCTCACATCCAATCTAAACCTCCCCTGGTGCAACTTGAGGCCGTTTCCTCTCGTCCTTTCGCCAGTTACTTGGGAGAAGAGACCAACACCCACCTCGCTACAGCCTCCTTTCAGGTAGTTGTAGAGAGCAATGAGGTCTCCCCTCAGCCTCCTTTTCTCCAGGCTAAACAACCCCAGCTCCCTCAGCCGCTCCTCATAAGGCTTGTTCTCCAGACCCCTCACCAGCCTCGTTGCCCTTCTCTGGACACGTTCCAACATCTCAATGTCCTTCTTGTAGTGAGGGGCCCAAAACTGAACACAGTATTCGAGGTGCGGCCTCACCAGTGCCCAGTACAGGGGCACTATCACTTCCCTGCTCCTGCTGGCCACACTATTTCTGATACAGGCCAGGATGCCATTGGCCTTCTTGGCCGCCTGGGCACACTGCTGGCTCATGTTCAGCCGGCTGTCGACCAACACCCCCAGGTCCTTTTCCGCCAGGCAGCTTTCCAGCCACTCTTCCCCAAGCCTGTAGCGCTGCATGGGGTTGTTGTGGCCGAAGTGCAGGACCCGGCACTTGGCCTTGTTGAATCTCATACAGTTGGCCTCGGCCCATCGATCCAGCCTGTCCAGGTCCCTCTGCAGAGCCTTCCTACCCTCGAGCAGATCAACACTCCCGCCCAACTTGGTGTCGTCTGCAAACTTACTGAGGGTGCACTCGATCCCCTCATCCAGATCATTGATAAAGATATTGAACAGATTATACAGGTCTCCTTAGACTCACACCAGTGATGGGCCAATGTTGTGACTTGCTTTAGGGAGCCACTGATAGATAAGTAAGGGTACTGGTAATATTTTTCTATTGATCTTTACTGGATCCTTATGGATCTTACCATGCTTCTACATCAGTTCTTGTACTGAGCCAAACCCCTCCATTATTTCACTTTCTGTGTTATGAAAACCAGTTACATCAGATAACTGAGTCTTGAGACCAAGGAAGCAGCTTGTTGTTGACTCAGGAGGATTAACCACATGGTATATTAGCCTTTCTGCACTGCTGGGTGTTTTGTTCACTTTGTGTTTCCTATTTAACTACAGCAGCTTCAAAGCAGCACGGAGCATCTACTTACATCATGATGCCTGGCTGCCCTGATAGCTTAGTAAACTGAGGGGAAAGGTTGTGAGGCTGTTTTGCAATCAACTCTAATTAGGGAGATTATAACTGCTCCTCCTTTTTTCTTCTGGTATATCTTTGAACAGTGGGCAATAAATGCCAGCGGTGGAGGTAAAGACAACAGTGCTATGAGATTTTGCTCTGGGCATCTTAAGGGCAATGATGATGGTCAGTCTACACCTCAGAAGTGTGAAGCTACACTGTGTTCTGCATCACTTCGTGTGGTGCTCCTGTGAGGTGAGACAGCAAAGAAATAAAAAACCAAAACAAACCCTGACTGAGTTGCAGTGCTTGTTTAAAAATGCTAGTGTACAACATTGTCATTTATGGCCATGTAAAGCAGAAATGCTAAAGTTACCTAAAGTAACATTACTGAGTGCACACAGGTGTAAACTTAAAAAAAATAGTACCTGGGAGGATGTGTTACCCAGCAGTAAGAGGTATTTTCTCTTGTGTGGAAGGAATTAGGCAAACAAGTTTCTAGAAGCAGCAATATATAAAATGATGCGTGTATGGTTTTGATGCCTGTGTATTTAACTGTAACAAAGGTGCAAGCTGCCTTCAATATTACTGTTTGTGTGCATTAGCTACTGTTAGTACATTTTGTGAATTGTATGGTGGTTTTTTTTTTAAACATGTGTCCTTTTGCAACTAAACCAAAGATCCTCTTGGGTCAAATGTTCAGGTTCTTTTCTCATGCCTTTTACAAGCCAGTACCTGCATTACTGTAACAGCACTCTTGGCCTATAGGTTATATTACCTCATTCCTTCCAATTCATTTGCAAATGCCTAGTTCTGTGTGTTCGCCTACTCTTCTGAATGTGGGCATGTCAAAGTCAGCAGAGTTTCTCCCCTTCTGGAAGCCACCTTCTGTCCCAGATAACCCAGCTGAGCTGTGTGTTTCTTGTGACACGTGTTACCATAGTGTCATAAAGGCTCAGAGGGCATTGTAGCCTTGCTTCACCCTTTGCTTGTTGAATATCCTCCAGTCTCTTTATTGGCTATGTAATCTGAGTAGAGGAAGCCTGTCTCTTGAATAAACAATGATGTGGCACATGCTTTCCTGCATTGTTGTTGTACTATGGATGGAAAAACTGCTGTAATTGAAGTATCTGTGCAATCTCTTTAATTGCTATTATATGCAGGTTGTATTTGTAACTGGCAAGTTTCAAGGTTATTAACTGGGTGATAAGAGTGTTGGGAATTGTGAGCAGAAGACTAAAGATGGTGTATGTGTAGTTCATGTAAAGGTAGAACCTTCAATTCTCTCCTGGTCACCCCTGTTTTCCTGGATTACTCCTTTCCCTATGTTTTGTAACTTGTGCCTGGCAGCTGCCAGTAAAGGCAGCTTATGTGCCTGCCCCGTGGATCAATGAGCTATGGAAGTACATAGTCAGCAGCCTGCTCTGAGAGAGAGCAGGCTGCATCCTCTGTGCATCAATCCTTTAGTGAGTAGGAAAGTAAGTGTCTTGTTGCACTGTGGCTCCTGGATTTTGGGGGTTCAAATGAAAAATGATTGGAGTCCTAGCTGGAGGGTCCTTTGAAGAACAGCATCTTTCTTAAAACTATTCTTCATATTATTTAGAAGAACTTCTCTACTAAAAGAGAAAATGGACATTGATTATTTAAGCTCTTCAGCTAGACAGTACAAAATCTACTGTTTAATTCCATTCCGTGTTGAATGTTTTTAGCTGGATTTCTGTCCATGTTATGAGAAAAAGCTGGTTGCATCCTCATCTTCCATGGACTAAATACAATAAGAAAATATTATGGATCTGTGTTCAGGGTATCCCCTCCCCTGCTTAATACTATAACCCCCACATGCCATATAGATGTCAGAATTTCTTCTGCCACATATTCCTCTCCACATTTAAATTGTTTCCTTTAGCATTTGGCACATACTTCTTTAAACTTGCATGCTTATATCGCAGCAAGCTGTGGCACTGGAGACCAAATGCCATGTGTATTAACAAAAAGCTCCATCACATGGGTCTGAAAAGTGTAATTTCATGCTGAGTACACAGTGTCGCGGATGGAAG